CTGGGGACTTAGAACCACACAGTTGGTTATGTGGAATCCATCCACCTTAACTACCATGCCACCTGGCTAGTTCGCATTAACTTCTTTTTTTTGAGAGAGATTTTTGCTATAGGGCACATGTGCTTGCCAGAGAGACAGAAACAGAGACACAAAAAGTGAGAAATCACCCCCCAGGGGGACTGACCATGCTGCAATCCCTTCTTCTCCATTATCCCCTTGGGATTTTGGGCACCCACCCACACACCCCTCCCCCCACCCAGTGTGAGTTTAAGTCACTGGGTCCGGGACTCAAACTGCGGCCGACTACATGGAAGGTCCAGCAACATAACTATTATGCCATCTGCTGATCCCTCTCATAACTTTTTTTTTAGAATTACTTTTATTTAACTTTATCTATTTATTCATTCATTTATTTTAATTTCACCAGAGAGGGACAGAGTGAGAGAGAGAGAGGGAAAGTGAGAAAGCAAGCCGCCAGGTCCAGGTCTTGAAACGCAGTTGACCATTTGGGAATCCAGTGCCCTCAACCACCATGCCACCTGCTGGTCCCCTTCTCATAACTTTTTAAAGTTACAAATGTAGTGTATATATATCCTTTATTTTTTCCCTCAATAATCCATTGGCTCCTAGCCACGAATTTAACTAAAACGTTTCTTTTTTTTAAAAAAAAAATTATTCTATTTAACTTTATTTATTTATTTATCTTAATTTGATCAGAGAGTGATGGAATGAGAGAGAGAGAGAGAGAGAGTGAGAAAGCAAGCCACCAGGTCTGGGACTCGAACTGTGGTCAGCCATGTGGGAGTCCAGTGCCCCTAACCGCCATACCCCCTGCTGGCCCCCTAACTAAAACATTTCTAAAATCCACATTTATTTAATTTTTAATTAATTAACTTATTTTTATTTGCCAAAGAGTGTGTGCTTGGGGCCAGCAGGTGGCGTGGTGGTTTAGGTGGCTTTCTCTCTCACTCTCTCTCTGGTCAAATAAAAATAAATAAATAAAGTTTAAAAAATTAAAAAAATAAAAAAAAAGTGTATGTGCTTGCCAGAAAAACTGAGGGAGAAATCACCACTCAGTGGGGACAGTTACACTTCAATTCCTCCTCCTCTATTTCTTATCCCATCAGGATTTTTGGCATGCACTCACACACAACTAGTATATCTGTCAAGCCACTGGGGCCAAGATTTGAACTGTGGTCAGCTATGTGGGATCTGGTTCCTCTAGTCAGGAGGCTACGGCGCTGACCCTAATATCTATGTTCAATCAGTACAATCTCTTCAAGAAAAGTAGTCCTTCTTTTTTAAAAACTTATTTTACTTAACTCAATTTATTTATTTATTTTAATTTGACCAGAAAGGGACAGAGTGAGAGAGAGAGAAAGAGAGAGGGAAAGTGAGAAAGCAAGCCACCAGGTCTAGGACTTGAACCATGGTCGGCCATGTGGGAGTCCAGAGCCCTTTTAACCACAATGCCTCCGGCCGGCCCCCAAAATAGTCATTATTCTTACCTGTTTGAAAACTATCCTTTAATTTCTACGGTACCTTCTGAATTTAGTGTTACAAGGTAGGTCATACTTTGACTCACAGTGTTTAGAAATATTTCCTACCTGGCAGAGATACCAGGCTCTCAGTTCTCAAGATCTGTCTGTCCCAACTACTTCCTGTTCACTGAACCTAGAATAAATTACTCACCTATCCAAGCCTTGGTCTTTCCATCTTTTTTTTTTTTTTTTTTTGGTCATAGGGCATAGGTACTCACTGGAGAAAGACAATGAGAGACAAAGTGAGAAACCACCCCTCTCCTGATGGAGAGGTGGCCACACAATGCAATCCCTTCTCCTGGGATTTTGGGCATGCATGCGTGCATACCTGGTGTAAATTTCAAGCCACCAGGTCCAGGACTTGAACCACAGTTGACTATGTGGGAGTCAGCATCTTAACCACCGCCATCTGCTGGCCCCAGTCTCTCTGTCTTTAAAAGTTTAATAAATAATAGCCATTTTCATGGGGTTATTGATAAAGATCCAATGAGATCATGTGGTTGGTGGGTTTTAGAGCAACTGATAAAATGCCAGTTGTTTCAGCTACATGCACTGATCATTTCCACCTAGACTATGAATTGATGCTTCTTTTTAGAGGTTTGTGCCTTAGGGTATGTGTACTCACTGGAAAGAGAGACAGAGACAGAGAAAATGAGAAATCACTCCCCAGGGGGATGGCCACGCTGCGATCCCTTCTCCTAAGATCTTGGGCACACACATACACATGCCTGGCGTGAGTTTCAAGCCACCAGGTCCAGGACTCAAACTGTGGTCAGCCTGTGGGAGTCCAGCAACATAGCCGCTACACCATCTGCTTGCCCTGAATTGATGCTTCCTACATGCTTCTATCTCCTTTACCTTAACCTCTCTGGGTTGAAATCCGAATCTTTCCCCCTTCCCCCTAAGCCTCTCTGGGGGAGCTGCTCTAGCTTCTGCTCTAGATTTCTGACTGTTTTGCTTTCTTTCCCTGACCCTTTTCCAGAGATTGTGCCGAGTGGGTTCATTGACACTGCTCCTCACAGAGTGGCTCAGTGTCATTAGTATATAAACAACTACTTGGCTTTATGTGGGCTCTTCAAAAGACAAGAGCTTTCTTATCTGCCATTTTGTTTGTTCTTACAGAATCTCTGGAGTTAGATAGTGATGAGTATGATTTCTTATTTCATAATTGACTATCCAAAGCTAAAATGTCAACGCTTTTTTTTAACTAAAAGTGTTTTCAGATAAAACCCCACAAACATTGTTCTACAGAATGAATAACTGTGAAGGGACTGGAGTGGAGCGGAAGAGAGCCAGAAGGCCCAAGCCAGGATTAAGCCCTGGCTTTACCACTTAACGGCAAACCCCTTAATTCTGCTCGTCTTCTATTTCTTCAGTAGTAAAACAATGATAAAAAAAATAAATAAAACAAAAACACTATTTTTATCAGAGGGCTGTGAAGGCTACATGAGAAAGGTCTTTATGAATTCTTCAGGAACACGACTATTAGCCCAGTAGTCTGCTTTAGTTCCCAGAGCTTTGGGTCTCAGACGTGGATGGCGGAGGGAGGGAGAAAGGCACACTGGGACGGCAGAAATCTGTGGGGAATGGACCTCCTTGTTCTGAAGGGCTGGTCTCAAGACTTCCATTTCCCCAATAATTCCTCTATTCCTGAACCACTCTTGTCAAGAAAACCTCACCTCCTTCCTCCAGGAATTGTTCACCCTATACCATATTCCTAGAGCTGGGAGTATTGTTGAGGCCTTTGCCTGTCTCCCTAGCTCTTGCCTAAAGACGTCCTGCCTCTCTGAGTGATGTCTCACTTCCTTCAAGAAGCAGCTTCTTGGTGCTCCAAACTACTGACCTGTCTTCCTCCTACTCAATATTCCTGCATTGGGTGGCTTTTAAGGTAGCTCCTTGCAGGATGGCCTGTGTCCTAAGTATCTAGGGTGCTACTAGTCTGCAGATCAATCACAGGAAGGAACTTGCTGGTGGAATCCAACCACCTCAATCGCCATGCCAAGGGCTAGCTCTAGACATTGGTGTTTCAAACTTGAATAAGACAATTCCTGTCCTTGAGGTTACCACTTAGTGGGGTAGTTTAAAAGACATTTACAGGAACCAGCAGTTGGTGTAATGACTATGTTGCTGGACTCCCATGTAGTTGACCACAGTTCAAGTCCTGGATCCAGTGGCTTAAACTCACGCAGGGCACGTGTGCATGCTTGCCCAAGATCCTGAGAGGAGAATAGAGGAGAAGGGATTGTGGCATGGCTATCCTGCCCAGGATGATTTCTTGCTTTCTGTCTCTCTGTCTCTCTTTGTCTTTCTGGCGAGCACATGCACCTTGTAAAAAAAACCTCTCCAAAAAGAAAGAAAAAAAAAAGACACTTAGAATACACCCACCCCCAGTAGGGCATGTGCATGAGAGAGACAAAGTGAGAAAGCACCTCCCCCAGAGTGGGGGATGGCCATGCCACAATCCCTTCTCCATTCTCTCAGGATTTGGAGCATGTATGCACTCGTGCCTAGCATGTTTTTCAAACTAGTGGGTCCAGACTTGAATTGCATTTGGCCATATGGGGTCCAGCTGCCTTAACGACCAAGCCACTGGCTGGCCCAGACTACAATATCTCGCTTAATCCTCATCGCAACCTTTAAAGGAGGTGGGAGGTTAGATTTGGGCCAGGGCTAGAGTAAGAGGTGGGCACTGACACTGAGGTAGAAGCCATAGTCTCCTTTTGGCACCTCCCAGGAGTGCTGAGAGACTCTACCCTTTTACCCCAAGGGAGGAAAAAAGATGAGATGGCTCTTCAGTGGGGTGACCGAGACTTGAGTCCCACTGGAGTACATTCACCTGGAAGCCCTGACGAAAATGTTGCCAGCTTCTGCACCCTGGACCAGGAGACCTCTCGGATCTTGCCCTTCTATGTCTAGTTCTGTGAGGTTCCCTCCACCCCCCATGACTGCTCCACCACACCTAATAAGTTCCCTTTTGGTTTGAGTCCATTAGGGTCAATTTTATTGTTTGCAACAGCAAAACCCAAATGAATCCAAACACCCACCCTGCAATGCTGGAAGGGTTACATGGCGCCAGGTGCACAAAGCGCTTAGCCCAGTCCTGGCAACGCAGCAGGCCGTCAGTAACTGGTGACAGGTGTTTGCAGGTTCACACTGGCTGGCAGCGTACAGGGAGGGGAAAGGAGATTGTCACTGGCTTGAGTCCACAGAGAGAAACCTTCCCCCAAGGGAAGGACAACAGAAGGGAGGGAAGTCCAGGCTCTGATATGCTCATTTATTCAAAATGTCTTTATTGAAACAGAATGATAGAGCAAGAAATGGGAGGATGTCTTCGGGATGAGCCCAGACCAGCGGTTACAGTGTGGAGCTCTCTCCCTGTCCCCTAACTCTTGTGGAGGAAGTGAAGATGAAGCAGCAGGGAGGAGGTGGGGTGGGGACAGCCCTCTGAGCTCTCCTCAGCGGCTGGCGTGAGGTGCCTCTGAGCCTTCTCAGCAGCCCTGCCTTCCTCACTTCCCAGTCTCCTTGCCAGGGCCCTACGCCACCTTTCTGTGTGGGTCAGCCTCCCGCCAGGATGTGCAGAGGCCACTCAGAGGGCAGGGTTGGGGGTGGCAAGCAGCGGGACGTGGTCACAGCGGTTAGGAGGTGGCTGCCGCAGCAAGGAGGGCCGGCGGCACAGCTCCCCATCCCGGAGCACCTCGGGCAGGAGCTTGCGCTTGGTCTCTGGCAGAAGCATGATGCTGAGGATGCAGAGGAGGGCACAGGCCGCCAGCACCACATGCTGCAGGAAGGCTCCGTGGCCCATGTGGAGGCGCTGAGCTGGCCCACTCAGCCCCCCTAGGGCCCCCAGGGCCATGATCAGACCTAGGCCACGGCCCCTGGGAGAGATGGAGGAGGCCTTCAGCCTGCAGCTGTGGCCTCACCCAGCGTCCTTCAGTAGCCTTCCCCTCTTCATCCCTCAGGCCCTATCCTTAGCCAGAGGCCAAGTGGCCTGGCCCTTCCCCTGGTGGCACCCTGGTCTCACCGGACGGTGGTAGGGATGACTTCCGCTGCGAGGAGGGTGCTAAGGATGGCAGCAGCTTGGGAGGAGAAGAGCCCAAGGACAGAGAAGGTGGTGATGGCAGCCTCGTTCAGATCTGGAGGACCAAAAGGGGTGGTGTGAATGGAGGTGGGGAGATCACGTCTGGCCTAGTCCCCAGGATCACCCCCTTGGCTCTCTGGCCCTGTGGCTCTAGCTGGTGGGCTCTGGGCATTTACTAAGTGACTGGGAGGACAGACTGGGTTGTGAGGCCATGTGGAGGTTCGTGGAAGCTCCTCGTAGGGTCTGGTCTTGTCTTGGGAGGCCTGTGCCAGGAGCAGGGCTGAACCTATCTGAGGCACCTCGGTTGGGGTGTCCTTGTTGAGCCCATACTGTGGGGAAGGGCAGATGCTCACAATCCCACAAGCCCAGCAGGACCAGGGACGCAATGCCAGTGAGGGTCATCGACAGCAGCAGGATGCCCCGGCGGCCAAATCGGTCCACAGTGACTCCCAGGAAGACGCAGGCTAGGGCTGCCGTGCCGCTGGCCAGCAGAGAACACAGGTAGAAGTCTGATGGGCTCCCTCCTCCTCCCACAGGCTGGTAGCAGTGGCGAATGGCATGGGCAATGAAGCTGTGAGAAGGGTTAGGGTACAAAGAACGGCATCTGGATCCCGTTCCACAGGCTCTGCCACCCTGGCTGTCCTCAGCAGGGGGCCTTGGGCCTTCCAACCCCCAGCCAACGTCCATCCCAGCAGCTGGCCTAGCCCAGGCTCACTTGGTAAAGCCCAGGATAAGCAGATTTTTCCAGATGTTGCGGTAGTTGAGGAGGGACGCGAAGGAAAAGGAGGATGTTGCAGGGAGAGGGCAGGTGTTCTCCAGGTCTTTGGGAGAGAGAGAGGCGCTGTTAGAAGAAACAGCCGAGAAGCCAGGATCCTCCCATGTGGGTGGTGAAGGTGGCACAGCTACAACATGCATGTGTACATGAGAGGCGTCACTCCGAGGGACCCTGCCTCTCACCCTGCAGGGCCTCCTGGGCCTCTTCTCCCAGCATCTGCCCATGCGGCCGGTTCCGTTCAGCCAGGATCCTCAGCACTGACTGTGCCTCCTCGATCTGCCGCTTCACGATCAGCCACCGTGCAGACTCCAGAAACAGACCAGGCCAGCTGGAGGCAGGGTGGGTGGGGTACACCATGAAGTCTCTCCTCTCCTGATCCAGAGATGGGAAATTCCCATCTCTGAGGAACTGGGGCTAAGGCACCCCGAAAGCAGGGGCCATTGGAAAAGAGAAGGGGTCTCTGGGCTAGAGCTACGCTGGACATAGACATGGGAATGACCCGATGACAGGCAAAGGGCAATACTGACCCATAAAACAGGAAGAGGATGCAGGGAGCGGTGATCATTCGCTGCAGAAATCGCCAGTCCTTAGAGACAAGGGCCAGGCCCAGGAACAGGAAGTGCCCTCCCACCCCCACCAACTCCCCTGCCAGGGCCACCCGAAGCCTCTGGGTTGGGTCGCACAGCTCCAGGCCTGGAGATACAGCAGGGGCAGAGGGAGGAAGAAGGCATGAGAGAGAAGAGGAGAGAGGGAGGGAGGAGGACAGAGAGTGAGGTCAGACCCTGAGTGGAGGCTGCAGCCATCGCCTCCCACAGACTAGACTCTGGGTGGCAAGGAGTAGAGAGGTGGTTGAATCCTCTCTCTTCTTCCACTCAAATTTGGGAAGAGTCTAGGGTCAGTCTCTGGTGGGTGTGTAGCATTCCCAGTTTACAGGCCCTGTTCCCATCGGACCTCTTATTTGACCTTCATGTCAACCTTTGTCCAAGGTCACACAGCTATTTAGGATTTCACTTTTTTAAATAAGATGCTATTTCCTGAGGTTAAGTCCAGGCCAAGGAAGGCTTTAGATCATGGGGGAGGGGAGAAAGGTGTGCAGAGAAGCTGGACCCCTGTATCCTTCAAAGGCCTGAGCAGAGAGATGGCTGAAATTCTGGGTAGCTAAAATTTGGGCCTGAAGAAGGTATTGAAGAGACCCTAGGTGGCAGGAATGGCCTGGGGATGCAGACAGACAGGAGACCCAAGGGAAGGACCTCTGGGCAGGTGTCACTTACGCATCAGGTAGACACCGAGGTCAACACCAGCAAGCAGAAAGCCCAGGAGGAAGCGGAGGGCCATGACGCCTGTGGAGGAGCCAGCAGCAGCCCCTCCTACTCCGCAGGGGCCCACCAGCCCCAAGGTCAGCAGCACAATCCCACGACGGCCAAACCTAAAAAGTGTAAGAGCTTCTGGTCACCCAGGCTCCCTGGGGAAGGAGCTGTGGGTGGGCCCAGCTGCCTCCTTCAAACCTAGAGGTGTGAGAATGCAGTTCTGGGTGTAAGAGTTGGACTGAGGCTAGAGAAGATGGGAAGAGATGGAGACCATTGTTGGGTAATGTCTGGCTAGACCACCCATCAGAGGGGATAAAATACTGGTTAGGGGATTTGGGACCAATGATACTTAGAGACAGAAACTATTGACCAGTAGGGATAGAGTTTGTCTTGTCAGACCGGTTAGAGATGGGGGTCATTGATACATGGAGTTGGAGCTAATCATCTGTAGATGTGAGACCATTGGCTTTTTGTCCATAGGGATAGTACTAGTAAAGACAGAGCATGGGACTGACTGATTTTTACAGATGAGGCCATTGTTCCATGGAGCTGGGATATGGGTGTTTTAATACATATGGAGGGTCCGTGGTGACTGGCCACTGGCTAGGAGGTAGAGTTGTTGGTCCATGGGAATGGGTCTAGGTCTATTAATCGATGGAGTAGGACTATTGATCAGTGAGGTTGGGATTACTGATCTTTGGATATTAGAAAGTTGATCTTTGGGGATAAAGCCATTGACTCATGGAGTGAGGATCTTAGTCAATGTGGATGGGGCTATTGGTCAGTAGCAATAATCCATAGCAATAATCAGTAAGGATTGCATCACATACCAGAGGAGATAAGACTCTTGGTCAGTGACGATGGTAACTGCCCATGAGTTAGTGAGGGTAGGACAACTGATCTGTGGTAGCTGGGCTATTGATTTTGGGTGATAAGGCCACTGATTCGGAGAGATGAAGATCGAGGGCCTCTGGTCATTGGAAAGGTCATCCTGATCTTCTGGAATGAGGTTACTGACCCAATGGGTTGGGTTATGATGACGGGCTTAACAGTTAATGTGGGTAAGGATACTGGTTTTGGGAGACTATCTTATTAGTCTTTGTGAATGGGGCATTTTCCCTAGGAATGAGGCTATTGGTTTGTGGAAATGAGGCTATAATGCATGGGGATGGGCTATTAGCTGGAGGACTACTGGGAAAAGAGAATGGATATTATTTTTTTAAAAATTTATTATGCATTTATTTATTTTTAATTTGACCAGAGAGGGAGGGAGGGAGAGAGAGAGAGCAAGCCCCCAGGTCCAGGACTCAAACCATGGTCAGTCCAGCACCCTTCACCACCACACCACTTGCTGGCCCAAGAATGGGTATTAATTTTAAGAAACTGGACCATTGAATGTTGGGATGCCTTTGATCCGTGGAAGTCAAGCTATTAATCCCTTGAGAGGGCATTGTAGATCGGTGGGGATGAGTCTAATAAATCATGGGGATGGCCGGTGGAGTTGAGCACCTGGTCAGTAGTGATGGTGTCCAGAATCAAAGGAGATGGGAATTTTGATCTGGGCGGAGAATTATTGGTTGGTGAGGATGGGCTGTTGATCTTTGGAGATGAGACCACTGAATAATGGAATGGGAATTTTGGTCTTAGTGAATCTGAGATACCTGAGGATCCATGAGGATAAGATTATTAATTTCTGAGGAATGCCATAGAGGTCGCAAATCCAGGAGGGTTAGGCTACTGATCCAAGAAGGTGGAGTGGAGTCATTTAGTGGCAGGCACGGGACTATGGGTTATTGGGGATGAGGGTATCTCATCTTTGGAGATAGTTGAGAGGGAGGGAGGGAGAGAGAGAGAGCAAGCCCCCAGGTCCAGGACTCAAACCATGGTCAGTCCAGCACCCTTCACCACCACACCACTTGCTGGCCCAAGAATGGGTATTAATTTTAAGAAACTGGACCATTGAATGTTGGGATGCCTTTGATCCGTGGAAGTCAAGCTATTAATCCCTTGAGAGGGCATTGTAGATCGGTGGGGATGAGTCTAATAAATCATGGGGATGGCCGGTGGAGTTGAGCACCTGGTCAGTAGTGATGGTGTCCAGAATCAAAGGAGATGGGAATTTTGATCTGGGCGGAGAATTATTGGTTGGTGAGGATGGGCTGTTGATCTTTGGAGATGAGACCACTGAATAATGGAATGGGAATTTTGGTCTTAGTGAATCTGAGATACCTGAGGATCCATGAGGATAAGATTATTAATTTCTGAGGAATGCCATAGAGGTCGCAAATCCAGGAGGGTTAGGCTACTGATCCAAGAAGGTGGAGTGGAGTCATTTAGTGGCAGGCACGGGACTATGGGTTATTGGGGATGAGGGTATCTCATCTTTGGAGATAGTTGTTGACTTGTGGGGGAGGGCCACTGGTCAGAAATGGGATAATTTATAAAGTTGCACTATTGGTCAGTGGGAATGGGCTGCTGGTATTTAGGAATTAACATACCGATCTTTAGGAATGAGGTCACTGAGATGCAGCTAACAGTCTATGTAGGCTCTTAGTCAACAGGGATGAGTCTATTAGTGCTTGAAGACGGTAAGGGAGGTGGTAAGGGGAACAGGACAATCGGGACAGATAGACTTTTGATCTATGGAGACAGATTTTTGGTCAGCGGGGATGAGACCTTTATCTTTTCTGTTGCTATGGGGCTACTGATCAGTGGGAATGAGGCTAATAGTTCACGGAGGTGGGGGTTATTCCCTTGTGCAGAAGAGGTAAGGAAAGAGTATTTCTTGATGGGGACTGAAGTGGAGACTGATCATTGAAGACAACATATCCAGAGAAGACCTCAGAGTCCAGCAAATGGTCTTCAACCTCCTGCAGACGCCTGCTGCTTGGGCTGGCTATCCTAGCACCCCCTCCTCTCTACGGGCCCTGCCCCACAACAGCCCTCACCTGTCTGCAGGGTATCCCAGGAACAGGTAGCCGGAGGCAAAGCCCAAGATGAAGAGGATCTGTTCCAGGATCACCTGCCAGCCCAGGTCACACACCAGATCCCACTGGGGAAGTGAGAAGGGTGCAGCAGAAGTGAGGCCCCGCCCGCGCCGCCTCCAGCCCGCCCCCAGACCCCCGGGGGGCGGGGCGGCCTCACCTGGCCAATGGCGTTGGTGGTGAGCACTGGCAGGCCGTTATAGTCCCAGTCCTTGAGGCAATGGTTGAAGTCCGGCGGGGCGAAGCCGCTGCACGAGGGGTCCGTACTGGTGGCGACGCGGCTGGCGGCACTGGCTGCTAGGGCTGTGCTGGCGACGCTGACGCCGCTGGCATTGGGGGGCTGCTCCCAGCCAGAGGCATTGGGCGGGAAGCCCCCATAGTGGCAATGCAGTGGGGGCGCCAGCGTGAAGATGGGGTCCGAGGCCATACCCAGCGCCACGAAGAGCACGGGTAGACAGCAGAGGCCGAGCTGCAGTTGCTGGCCGCCGCCCAGCGCCCCCACCTGGGCGAGTAGCGCCTCAAAGCTGAGGGGGCCTGGCGGCACGGCCGGGGCCGTGGCGCCACGGCCGGCGACAGGCTGCTGCCCAGTCCGTCGCCGCCCGCGTCGCCCTCCCCCTCCCGCTCGCGCTCCCGCTCACCCTGCAGCTGCTCCGTGGGCACCGCATCTCCGAGGGTCCCGACCTGCTGTGGGGTGGAGGTGGGGGTGGCAGGAGGAGGGGAAGCGGGGAAAGCCGCAGGGCAAGGGGAGGGGACGGGGCGGCAGCAAGGACGAGGAAGGCAGCCAACGGTCACCCTGCAGCTGCTCCGTGGGCACCGCATCTCCGAGGGTCCCGACCTGCTGTGGGGTGGAGGTGGGGGTGGCAGGAGGAGGGGAAGCGGGGAAAGCCGCAGGGCAAGGGGAGGGGACGGGGCGGCAGCAAGGACGAGGAAGGCAGCCAACGG